ATGAATAACACCCTCCACAATAAAAATGATTAATCAACCTCTCATAATTACAAAAAAATGAAAATTTTTGATTGGTTGAATAAGGTTTGTACGGTTTGTACAAGTAACATGGTTTGCAAAGTAAACCTCCTCTCTCTCTCTCTATATATATATATACACACACTGTGTTTTCGACAACCCAATTTATATAATTTAAAATAAATACTAAAAAAGAAACAAAAAAATCTTGGAGCTTGGCTATTTCAAAAATAAGACCATCCCGTTCATTAAAATTTGTTAAAAATATTACACATTAACGGATATTATACTTTTAAGATTTCAATATTAATTATATTATTAAAATGTTATATAAATTCATTATCTAAATATACTTGAAAAATATTTAAAGCAACACTAATTAATACATTTAACTTCATTTGTAGAATACTTAATATTAACTTATCCCTCCTCAATATTGAGTTTTAACGGTTTTCTTCGAATTTAAAGATCTGTAGCTTCTCTTTTTTATTTTCTCTATTTTAGAATAATTGTTAACGATGCTCTTTCCTTCCAGATCAAATTACATCCATTTAAAATCATTCAGAGAGTTTTAGAACAAGATACAAAATCATTCAGAAGATTTAGAGTAATTGTTAAGGGAGATACAAAATATAAAATCATTCAGAGGGTTTTAGAACCATTAAGAGACAAACTTTTTTTTTTTGTCAAACAAGATTTATATCTAAATGATTCAGATACTACCTTTTAATCGAAGTAAGTGGAATAGTTTTATGTACCCATTTGGTAAACCTCCCAATCATAAAAGAATTAAATGCTAAAGCATTGTTCTTTCTCTATTTCGTTACTACATTTAAATATTTCTATTAATTCTATAATTCTTTTAAAAAGCCTTAACATATTAATAAATAAATAAACGTGAAGCCCATCCGCTAACAACGAATAATGGTTCTTTAGATGGATTATTAATATTCAAAAAGACATTTTTATATAATTATTTGTTGGAATATTTATATTTAAAATCAAGCAAAAGTTATCATAAAAAAACTCAAATTTAGCTTAGAAATTAAATAAATATATATAAAGTTTGATCCATTTAGTTTTTGGTTTTATTTAAATGTTAAATCGAATAAAATGAAAGAAAACGTGTTGGAGAATACACAAGACGTCAAAAGGATGTAAAACGACAATTCATCATGTATAAAAAAACTCTAGAAAACCAGAATTCGAGACCACAGGTTGGGAACTCGAATGTAGGATCTTGAAAAAAAAATAAAAAATAAAAATAAAACGATGCAAGACTTTTAAATAAATGATTTCACGAGGTAATTTTTTTTTAAATAACGTCAAATAAATGAATGCTATAAGTTAAAAGACTTATACTAGGGGGCGGATTTAAGGGGTGTCAATGAGCGTCAGTGAAACCACTAAGGCTCTGTTTGGTTTGCAGTATTGTTTTTGAGGGATTTAGATTTTATGAAAGGATTTGAAATCATTGGTGTATTTGGTTTGTAGGATTTGAAATGGAATTGGATTTCATTATTTATAAATAATTTATAAAAAAAATCGTAAATAATTATAAAAATAATTTAAAACATATTTGTCTTGCCATGTAATTACTCAACAAGTAATAAACAAATAAATAATAATAATATTAATAATAATAATAATAATAATAATAATAATAATAATAATAATAATAATAATAATAATAATAATAATAATAATAATAATAATAATAATAATAATAATAATAATAATAAATTGTGTAGTTATGATTGGCAATGGGTTTGACATAGTGAACTACTTAGTATGCTTTCCATTTATAATTTACACCACTTGGATGTGTTGCTCCAAATGATGTGCACAATCACAATCAACGTGGCCCCACACAAATATTTCTTCAATTATATATAATTCATTGGTAAAAGTAAATTGCATGAAAAAATAACGTAATTTAACTTTATTTTTATTTTAAGTAACGCATTTTCAAAACTTTTATTTTAGTATCTAAGATGTAAAGTTTTAAACATTTAAATACTCGGATAATCGGTTGAAGACTAATTTTAGATTAAAGAAAATTCATGTCACTAACTACGTTAACAAATAATACTGAGTTGGATAGCACATCAACATGATAACCGGTTAATATTTCAACCGGTTACCTGGGTACTTAAATGTTTAAAATTTTACATCTTATGTACCAAAATGAATGTTTTAGAAGTACATTACTCAAAATATGAATAAAGTTAAACTACATTATTTTTTCATGCAATTTACACTATTGATAAAATATAAGTATATATATGTTCATATATACAGATACAAATAATGTTGTGAATACACATACATACATGCTATTGTTACTTGAAAATAACGGCGCTACTGTTATAAGTTTATTAAGATGCTACTATTATTACCTGTTAAAAACAAAACCCAGAATAGACATAAAGAAACACAAAAAATCTGGTGGTTGGGCACTTTATCATGTCAACGCGGAGTGTTACGTTTGTAACCAACAATGTGTATGCAACTATAGAAAAACCGTACGAGATATAGCATTTCGAGTTAATCATATTCCATCACATGTTGGTTCTTTAGCCGATTACCTTTCGATCATTTGTCTTTTCATTTTTCATCTTCAAAGGTTTTGTTGTTGTTTCAGTTTAACGTATCAATCATTACAATCTAGAAACAAAACAGTAAAGTTAAATAAAAAAGAGCGAATTCTAGATGCTATAATTCGAATATCAGCTTTATTCTGACTTTCCAGACACGCTGCATGATATATTAATAATGACAAGCGTGCATTGCATTAAATATGTCAACTACTTTAACCAAGTTTAAATTGCTTGAGCTCACAATCTGTTGGTCGACATAATTAAACCGAAAGTAACAGGATTAGCATATTATAATCGCTAATTAAACACCAAATTAGCATTTTAAATTAAAAAAAAATCAAATGAAAACTTATAACAATGTGGATTAGTACCAAAGCTATGATTGCTAAATCTACAAAATAAAGTAAAGGAACTCTTTTAGGAAGTTCCTAATAATAAATTTAATTAAAAATGTATTAAAGTTCAAGCACTAATTGTAAATAAATTATATATATATATATATATATATATACATATATATATATATATGTAATTAATAAAGTTTATGAGCATTAAAACTATATATAACTTCGTTATGAAGTTTGGAGTACAAGAACACAAAATGAGTACGATCATGTCACAAAATTAAAAGCTTTGTTTTGTATTATTAAATCAACTTCCAAAAAAAAAAAAATTAATATCCATATTTTAGAAATTACAAAAATAGGGTTATGTATATAGGGGTTTAATTGTTTGAGAGCCTCATTATCTTGTGATAACTGCGAGAATTATTATCATAAAGTATTGTTTCATATGATTTTTTATAGAGAAAAGTCTAAAAAAACTCAATAAACTTTTTCATTTTAAATGGTTTAGTTTGTAAACTGTTTTTTTTTTTTAATGAAAAGTCATTAAACTTTCTCGTTTTGAATGATAGAGTCTTTTAAATATTTTTTTTGAATGAAAAAAGTCACTAGATTTTCACATTTTGAATGATTGAGTCTTTGAAATATTTTTTTTGAATGAAAAAAGTCATTAGACTTTCACATTTTGAATTGTTAAAACCCATAAGCACAAAAAAAAATTATAGTTGCATTTTTTGTTTCATAAGCACAAAAAAAATGTTCACATTATGAAGCAAATATATGTTAATCAATATGCTAAATTCAAGTCGTAGATGAAAAAAATCATGTAAAATCGCACATCATGCACCGGTTCTCAAAATTATCTCAATTTTATAGTTCTAAAAAATAAACTATAGTTCTAAAAAATAAACACCCTCCTTTACACACACACACACATATATATATATATATATATATATATGTGTATTTAGATAGAAAGGGAGAGAAGGAGAGAATTTAAATGAAAACCATAAATAATTTAAGAATCAATGAATCGATTTTATATTACATATTCATTGATTAATATATATTATTAAAAGTTTCATCAAAATATAAATACAATGTCAAAAAGCTAGCATATTAAGCAATGTATATATTCACTCATTATAATTATATATATATATATATATATATATAGAGAGAGAGAGAGAGAGAGAGAGAGAGAGATGTTCGTTCAAATAGAAACCAACCATATGGTGCAAACTAAGCTAACCAACCTTAACCAATCACATTCTTTCTTGACTTTAGGTTCAAATCTAAATTATAAATTAATGATAAGGATAATTTGGTAATTCAACCTTTTTGTAACCCCTAATAATTAAGGTAATTTGGTAATTCAACCTTTTTGTAACCCCTAATAATTAATTAGGAGTTACAAATCTTTTTGTAACCCCTAATAATTAAGGTAATTTGGTAATTCAACCTTTTTGTAACCCCTAATAATTAATTAGGAGTTACAAATCTTAAAAGATACCTCTAATTGTTCACGAGATTTTTCTGATTTCTTTATTATTTSATGTTCATRGTCTTCATTTCAATTGATTTTATACATATATTGAAATTGGTTGTCTAAGTGTACAAGATTTTCGTTTCGTTCAACATATGAACAGATCCAAAGGAAGTATGAACACCGAAATCATCAACTTGTTTTTATTGCAAGACACAATCGTTGTTCACACGAACACATGGACGATGTCATACGGTGCATGCCATTTTCGCTGCCTCCACGTGTTCATGTGATTAGCGACTGTGGTCGTTTACACATTCAAATGCAGTGTGATCATAACGGAATCAGCAATATGAACAGAGTGTGATCATAAAGTTCAATATGCAGTATATGTTCACAGCGTATAATATGTATAGAATAGGAACAGGGAGGTAAACCCAATTTTTTGACCAATTTACCCTTTGAACAATTGTTCATACGCATATCAATTAATACATTAATTAAATTATTTATTATTTAATCTCATTTAATAATAACCGTTTGATGATAGAATGAACGATCAAGATCGGTTTGCATAGTTTGTATCATATTATTGATTTCTATTTGAACCAGCCCCTATATATATATATATATATATATATATATATATATATATATATATATATATATATATATATATTAAATTAATGAGTTTTAAAATGGATACACACTAAAATATTTAGTTCATGGATTCTCATAATATTTACGATTTTCATTTCGAGCAAGAATATATATATATATATATATATATATATATGTGTGTGTGTGTGTGTGTGTGTGTATATACTCTACAATGGGTTGTATATGTAGAGTTTGTTTCAAATACAACCCATTGCATTTGTACAACCAATGCAACCCAATATATTGAGATGTTTATGGAAATGATTAGAGTTCATTTATAATGATTTGAATATTTATGGAAGATGAATATGGTTCATTAATTATGATCGATACTTTATATTATGAAACAATAAAAACTTCTATGAAATCACATATTAATCAAATAAAATAGACGGTTGAAATTGGGTTGTATTGGTTGCACAAATGTCAAAGATTGTATAATAACCAACCCCCCTCTCTCTCTCTCTCTCTCTATATATATATATATGTATGTATCATGTATGTATAGAAAAGAATCTTTAATTTTGTCGTTTCAAGTAGAATGTAACTTGGGTGCACATTGAAAGCACTTTGTGAAAGTGTAATTAGTTGACATATTCTGGCTTAATCATTCGTTGACTTGTATACTAATATATTTATAAAGTAACGCCTCTTCCTAATAATTAACTATCCACTCCTAATCACCTTCCTCAAACAACCCTAATACATCTCTTTAATTTTATTACTTCTTCTTCTTCTTTTAATTAATCTTCTTCACCTTCACTCTTCACCTTCAACTCCACTTCTTGCAAACCCTCAATCACCAATAAATAATACACTTCATGAAAAACATATAATATATATATATATATAGAGAGAGAGAGAGAGAGTAACATCTCATCTCAACCGTACCAGATATTATTTGTTTTATCTACATTTGGACTCACGGTTTTATAATGCGTCTAATAGAAGAGGTATCAAGTCCCTTTTAATGCAACATTTGTTCACCTTCCAACCGATGTCACTACAACAAAATCGGGTTTATAGGACACTCTCAATTTCTAAGCGTCCTAATAGACCCCTTTATAGAACTTGGTTTATAGGACAAAAAATAACAATAAATTGTCATATCTAAAGACGTTGTAATAAGTTTATATGACGTTTTTTGACGTCGTTATAAGTTTTTTAGGACACTTTAAATATAAAGCGTCTCATTAGCAACTTTATAGGACAATATTTGAAAAACTGTCATATAAATACAAGTGTCTTGTAAAAAGTTGAGTTTACAGGACACTTTCTCAAAAGTGTCCTATAAAGTTGCTAATGCGACACTTTGTATTATAAAGTCCTAAAAATTTGTTAAGACTACCAAAAGTGTCATATAAACTTATTACAACACATTTAGATAGGACGTTTTATATTTTAGTCTTATAAAGCGGTTTATTGGGACGCTTAGAGATTGATGACATCCTATAAACCCAATTTTGTTGTAGTGTATGGAATCTCTCACATATACAGTTTGAGGATATGGTAATTATACGTCAATGAACACGTTAATACTTCATAATTAAACGTGATTAAGCAATTGGAAGGTGGAAACTTAATCATGGTCAATCAAATAACAGGTACAGATTCAAAGCTAGAATGAAGTGGTAGATATAATTAGGTTAAGTGATGAGGTTCAAGAGTTAATAAAGATGGCCACTTTGAGTTATTGTGCTGATTTGCTGAATAAAAGCAAGAAGAAAGAAGGAAAAAAAAGGAAGCAATAATGCAAATTTAGGTTAAGATGGGATGCATGGAAGGTGGACAATAGGTTAGAGTTGGATCTGATATGAGAATATATGTAACCCTGTTACATTACTGTATATATATTTGATGTGAGATTATAACATGTAGGTTCCTTCCAACAGAGGCTATAAACACACAGAATGCCTAGAGTACCGACACAGAGCTAGACGGATACAAATTATTGTCTCAGAATAACAAGGCACTGCTATAATCGTAAACCTTAACTCTGATATCGTATTAGTGTGTGTGTATATATATATATATAAATATATAACCCTATTAAATGTATAATATATGATAATGGAAAGCGTAGGCAATAGTGGGTTCAGCTGAGCCTAATGATTGCTTATTTGCTATTAATAAATTAGTTCAAATAAGGGTGTTTTACATCCCTATTAAGAAATCAAAAACAAAACATAATAATGGCAAATATCCCATCATATATTATAGTGCCCAAATGAGTATCTACTCGATCAAGACGTGTTTATAAAAGCAGATCGACCGACCCAGCATTCCACGACTCCATATACTTGTTTAATTATATATATATATATATATACACACACATATATATATATATATATATAATCATTAGGGAAAACATAAAGTGTGGGAGATTTTGTTTTATAGGTGTAAATTAAAGTGAATTTTACAAATCCAAGTTAATTATATCATAAATATTTTGTTGTTATGAGTATCTTGTGCAAGATTGAGGACAAAATATGTGGATCTTTACAAGGTGAGATGATAGTGAAGATGCTAAAAGTCAATATATATTCATTAAGACAAAAAACTTAGGGTTTGGTTTCATTGGTTAATCTTTCTGCAGTCGTGCATATATAGGTCAATGGCTCGACCCTTTGGTGCAAACTCCAGTAGGTATCAACGGGCCCATTTGGTCCAATGATGTTGGCATCATGCATGTTGTTATACGTAGAAGCTCGAATAGGCATGTTTTTATCTGGGTTTTGATTTCTCAAGAATCTTGTTATGTCTCGAACCCTAATAAAATTGTGTATGTAGTTATTAAGGATAGGTTCAATGGGTCTTGTTCAGCAACGAAACCCCTTGGTGCAAGCTTAGAGTAGGTATGAATGTGGCCGTTTGGTCCAATGATGTTGGCATCATGCATGTTGTTATACGTTGAAAGCTTGAATAGGTGTGTTTTTATTTGGATTTTGATTTTTCAAGAATCTTGTTCTGTGTTGAACCCTAATACCCTGATTAGATAGATAATGAGATATATAAGGGTATGGAGATTGACTCGGCTTATCGACCTTCTAGTAAAGCGGTTGCAAAACTGTTTGAGCGCAATGTAGTGGTGAAATTACCGTCATCCCTTGCCAAGGGGACTTTCCAGCGCTGAGCATGTGTCAGACTCTATACATCGTGTTACCACTTAGCAGAATCCTGCCGAATTCTACTTCAAAAATATACAGGTCTATGAGTGTGTTTATCAGATATATTAAGCAGTAATCAATGTAAATAAAAACAATTGTTTGGTTTTTTTTTATTATAATATAATGAGTTTACTGAGTTCATTTTCCTACATGTCCAAATTTTCATATCAGGTTAAATTGGGGATCGAAAATTCATTCTCATTTTTATTCTCAGTCATTTCATTCCCCAAACAGACAACCCACAAGATTATATGTAGAGTTGGTGTAAATATACAAGGATTTGAAAATATTAAAAGCTACATTTCACATCCTTTAGATTTTGATAATCAAAAAACGGTTTCCTAAAAATTGTAACAAACTCGAGGGAATCAAATAAACATGTCCATATCACCTGATATGGTAGCAAAATCGGGATTAGAAGCAATGCAGCAGGATTAGATTAATGCGAGAAAATAGAGCGAGTTACAAACAGTAAAAGAACGCACATTTGTCCTTCTATCGGACCATTAAGCTTAAATGTGTAGGCCTGTCGGGTACTACTTAACATGTGACACTTTCGAACTATTTACTTAACATCAGGGTTTGTATTTTATCAGTCGTATGGATAAAATAAAACATATCAAGACGAAATTGTATACAATTTTCAAATATATACAACCTTCTAAATCAGTATATAGTTTTTTAATAATATTCAACATATTGATTATTTGTTTTATGATTTAAAAAACAGATTTATGAAGTTAATGATTTCAACCCAACTCTTTTATTTAAAAAAATAGAAAACTACAAAATTGGGTTGGTTTTGTATATAATTATGGGTCAAATGGGCCATTGGTATGGTAATGGCCCATTTCTGTCTCTACATTTTTTTATTTATTATCTTTTTAATATTTATTATTTTTATTAATATTTTTTTCACTGTTGTAATAAATAATATAAAAAAAATGAGATCTTATTCAATGGTAAATTCTGTAATAAATAATATTAATATTTTTACCTTCACAACATTTTTTTGTGAAGTTTCAAGTGTAAAAATGTTGTCTCACGTGTCTCATAAAAACAATTTGGTCTCACGTGAACCCAACTCTTCCATACTTAACATATTATATAAATACTAGAAGGGTATCTGCACAATGCAGCGAGATACATCTTGATTTTATTGTTTTCTTTTGTTTTTTGTCTATTGATATAATACAGTTTTATATGGTTTTGAGAAAGTGATAATGTTTTTTTTATTTTTGAACAAAATATAAATATGAAGATATTGTTATTAAAATTTTGAAAAAATATATCGATATTAATATCAAATTAACTATTTAAAAGTTCTCGTTTTTTATGTAATTTTTTTATTCAGTTTTTTTATTATAATTTAATTTAGATCTAACAATGAATCGATTTATTTTTGGTTTAATAATCTAATTTTTTATAAAGATAGTAATTAAGTATTCTATTAATTTAATAACGAATCAATTTATTTTTGGTTTAGTAGTATATTTTTTTATAAATATAATAATTATGTATTCTATTAGAA